TCACGCGTGCCAACATAGCGACGGTACTGTGATCGACCCTTATTTTACATCCAGTGGCGTTCACGGTGGATTATCGCCGAAGGGACATTCCACGTCGAATCGATCACATTTCATGGTAGATGACAGATGAGATTTTGGAGGAATTTTGAGATTCTTGTAACCCACTATTATTTCGAGTTAACGTCTGCTCACAAATGTAAGCGTCTACAATCGTAACCAAGGAGAAAACCTCTAATCAAAACCTACCCAACGCAACTCCTATCTTCTCAGCCGATGCCTACGCTATCTTAAAAGCTCTAAAATTCATTACAACTAGCACCATCAAAGCAACACATCATATATTCGCGTTCCATGAGTGGCATCTCCAGCCTGGCCCATATAAACATGACAAGTACAGAATAATAAATTCGATACAGTAAAATAAAGTACAAGACAGAATATTCCAGCATCACACAGCATAATATTACAAAATGACTTCAGTTATCGCCTATTCGTCACTCCGAGAACCTTCCGCTGATTCAGGTGACTCTGATACGACAAAATGAAGACTTTGAATGATAAACGGTGTTCGACTTACGTACCGTATCCGGATCCTGGGCGCACGCTCTCCGCGTGCATTTATTAGACGAGATTTATGCCGTTAAAGGACGGAATCGGTAAACCGATCGCAAATACCATTCCCAAAGCGACGTAGAGGAGTTTCAATAGGGGCTTCCGAGGAAAGCCTCGGTTCGATCTTGCTTTTTGCTCCTCGCCTTTGCGTTCTTAATATTTCATGGGGCTGCGTTGTCGCGCGAGCATTTACATCGAATACCTTGGACCGCGTTCGCTCCAAGAAAAACTCGGACAGCTACATTTTTACCAGACGCCGCGAACCCGTCGATTCGCTGAATCGCGTTTGCCGAACAATGTTATCGCGTTTCCGTTCATCCGTGGAGAGAATGCGAGATTCATGGCGCGCTGCCACATCTTCCTGACCACGGTCACGCATTGTTAACGAAAGAAATTCTACGAGAAAATGGCGTCCGATGGCAGCGCGTCAATTAAGCTTTCTTGCTTTATTTTTTAACTGTGGCCAGACCATGCAGATCTACTTCACTTTTTTTCTAGAGTATTTGCTCTACTACTTGCCAAACATCACCGTTTGGTGACACTTGGTTGCTATTCTTTACAAATCATATTTGCCGATTTTTTTTCTCTCTTGTCTACCAAGTTTCGTAAAAATCAACGTGTTACAGTTGGATGATATTCCCTGCTTTGTTGCTTCTTATTATTCCTTTATCTCGGTCAAAGAGGCTCGTGCAAAATTCTATTCTCACCTAGCTTATATTACAATTAAACATTCTATTTGAAAGTAGTCGTATAATCAAGCCTTCCGTGTGAATGTCCATCCATACACGATCCCGTCGTTTCATCGAGGCTCAGCTTTTTCCGTTGCTGGCGCGCCCGGTAACTAATCGCACGGAGCTCGAACGTTTCGTATAATTTCATCATTACATCCGACTTGACGGGTACGAGTGCGAGATAGATTCGACGGTAATAATTAAAGTCTTTCGGTTCAGTGGGCCGCGCTGTGGACCGAGCTACGCGAGCGGAGCGCGTTTTATTTTCGCCAGGGCAAAAAGTCGGGCGACACTGCGAAAAATCGACTATAATTCTCTGTAATATTTGTCACCGGATTTTTTTGCCGGTTCGATGTATAACGGGACGCGAAATAAACTGAGATTAACGATACCGTTCGAAAACGGTTCTGGCGTTGACGAGATTTCCTCTCTTTCTAAAAAATTGTTACTTTATTGCTTCATGCACTCCGCATAGGTAAAATTGTATGGATCGTCCTCGTGAAAAGGTTTCTTTCATTATTGTAAATTTCGGATGTTAGAAATATGGGCAAGTTGAACAGCGATTTCCGTAGATAAATATGTATATCTCTTTAGCAAAAGCAATATAGTTTTACTCTCATGTTCAGTACTTGAATTGTTACGATTTACGTTCACGTGTAAATGTTTTACAAATATTCAATTTAGCCAGTGAAAGATTTTATACAGTTGCGAAAACTAGAAGGTACCAGTTCCTGGATGTTTCGTCAACCGATCAATGGCGGAGAAACGTTTGATAAGTCTGAACTCTGTCACAAGTTTGTCCGGAAACCGACTACCGTTTCCGACCCAACGAGAATTACAAGACACCCGTGCGATCGGATACACGAAAACTTCCGTCCTACAGAAAAATTACAAGCCACCGGGCTGGGCGTGAAAAAGATGAATCGCGGCGCGCGACGACCGCTGTTTTACATGCGATACGCCGATAGACTGCATCCACGGAGGAAATAACTCCGGTATATGGCGTCGATAAAAGTTTCGTGGCGGGCATGTTAATGTAATACCAACACGCTCACAATACCAGTCGCGAGCATTCCGTGCGTTGTGTGCAACGAAAGCATAAAGACGGCAGCGAGGGGTCGAAAAAAAATGAGGTATCTGAAATTGAGATTCTATAGCCAGATCAAAATCAACTGGCCGCGCCATGCTACTTCCTCGACTGTAAATCTCGACGGTCACGACTTCTGCTTTTACGCCATGATTGCTTCTCCCTGCGGAGAACGGAAAGCGTGCGTCAGCAGGTTTGCGCGAAGAATCGAGAGACAGGTCGGGAAGAGGGGCAGAGCCAATGAAAGAGAATACCGGGGGAGTTCCCAGAATGGCCTTGAGTAGCCAATTGATTTCGTCTCGACATAATATACTGGAATCGAACATTGCGTCTAATGACATTGGTCAATCGTGACAAAGACGGGTGGTTTCGCGGTGAAAAACATTTGCAAAATATGTAAATTCTTCTCTTCGATTAACCCTTAAATGGACGATTTTTGTTTCACGTTTTAAAAAAATATATTTGTGTAATAGACATGTATTACTGTCTAGGAAAAATAAGTAAAAAAATCTAGACATGAATTTACTATACTTTTCAAAATTCGTTCAGAAATAAGAACTAGTTGTCAAAATTACAAAAAAATAAAAGAAGGTCAATTTTATCTGTGATGTTTAGTATGTTGTTTAAAAACAACATTGTCCATTTAAGAGTTAACTATCCTTTCGTGTCATTTACCTTCTTAGATTAACAACACTACCAAGTCCTTCAATGAGAGTTAACCCCTTCCCGTTTCAAAGTTATAGTTACTATCATTCTTCTTATCATCTTATATGACTCCTGCATCGTTTTAATACTGTTTGAAGTATCTCTTACTTCTCGTCTAATGGGGCCCACTGGCCCCCCTCTAGCTCGGATACCTCGGGGTTGCTAAACCCGTACTGTAGCTACAACCACCGCTACAGCTCCTGAGGGTTTTTTGTATCGTCGTTGGTAATTATCGAAACACCCAGGAACGAGGGTCGTTCGAACCATTTTGCTCAGGGCGAGGAAAGAAATATTATTGTAATCGCGACGGCACGTGCACATTTCGTGCGAAGACACGCGGTGCAGCGATTTTCCGCGCGGCAAGCTGTTCCCTTGTACCGACTTTCTCTCATCGAGATGCACCGGAATAAAATGGAGAAAAGCAGTCGATTCCGCTCGACTCCGGTTGCACAGAGGGCGGCTATTATTACAGGCTTTTGGGTCCAATAACTCTTCAGCTCTCACTTGTTGCTGTAATCGTTGCACGAGGGGCATCGCGACGTTTCCCTTTTGAGAATTTTTCACCAGGCGAATCGAAGCTAGGGAGACTGGACAAAATTGAACAGGCCGACTCGATGAACATCGGGAGTAGGATTATCTAGGCATAACTAGAATTATTAGTGATATTTGGCGCTACCGAAAACAGTGTAATCGTCATTTCTTAAATAACATTTTATAATCGGCTTTTAGAAAGTCACAGATTACTATAGAAATAGATATAGTCGCTAAGTCGCTAAATCTTATAGGTCGATAAAGCGATCTATAAGAGTACTTGACGCGATTAGATTAATTTCAACGTTGGATCATTTTGGATCGTCATTAGCTACAGTCAAGTTAATTGAATTTGAAACGATTCGTGTAATTAAAATAATAATAAAAACTTTCGAGAAATGTGGAAACGAGAAACTCGAAAAACTGTGGAACAGGTTCGCTATTTTTATTACGGTTGAATGTTGACAGGTCCATTATAACGATTAATAAAGTCATCGCGCCAGGTGGTAGAAGTGCATTCGTTTTACCCCGAGAGAGCAGGTATTTATATTTTGCACAGTAATAGATCGAAACGATTACTGGAGGAACTCGAAGCAGCGCTGGTCGTTTCCATTTTCGCTTAAATATTTAATGCGGAGCGCTGATCAGCGTGACGGGAAAAATTACTTTTTCAAAGGGGCGGTTCCGAACACCATTTCATCCCCGTAAATGCCATCAAAATTCCACAGGAGCCAGCACTCGATATCCAGTCCTCGATATCGCGATTCCAACCATCCATACAAATCGGATTTTACCAAATTGGAGTACAATTTTCACGAGCGTAGAACTAGGTTCGTGGCGCATGTGCGATGGAGAGGGAAAAAGAGCAAGAGAGGAAGACGCGTTGCGGTCGGTTGCGGATGATGAAGCGAATCAACTAACAGTGGTGGCTTACGTGCGATGCAGCCCTAAACCATTGCCCAGGGAGCATTTCCTAGAAACGCGTTAGCAACGAAACGTCTGTGCTTAGAATTTTCAAGCGCGTTGAATTACATCCCCGTCACGGAATCAATGGTACCTGAAATACGTAAGCGTCGTCGACGTCGTTATTCCGTGCGCTAGCTCGCTCCAACGGTTAAACACCTCGTGGGAATTTTAATTTATTCCGTTCGTAGTTCAACGACGGAAGAAGGATAAATTGTTCGGGAACATTCAAAGATACATTTGCAGTGAAAATTGTCGCATCTAGGAGGAAAGTTAGTCTATATACAAGGGTAACGAAGTTTATAGATGAGAAGAACATAATTTTTTAGAATAATCAATAATTTATATCATAGTGTTGCACAGTATACATTTTAATTAGTCACTCTCGTCGTAGTTGGTTCTTGAGGGGTGGTCTCAGACGGTTCAGTGGTTGTGGGAGGTGGTTCTGGAGTGTTTGTTGATGGATCTGAAGTAGGTGGTTCTGAAGTAGTGGTCGTAGTTGGTTCTGGAGTAGTGGTCGAAGTGGCCGTAGTTGGTTTTGAAGTAGTGGTCGAAGTGGTCGAGGTTGGTTCTGGAGTAGTGGTCGAAGTGGCCGTAGTTGGTTCTGAAGTAGTGGTCGAAGTGGTCGAGGTTGGTTTTGAAGTGGTGGACTCGGTAGTCGAAGGTTGCTCTGTAGTTGTGGTTGTTGTTGATGTCGTGGTTGTTGTTGGTCTCGTGGTTGTTTTTCGTGTTGTCGTTGTGGGCCTAGCTGTCGTTGGTTTCTTCATGGGTGTAGAGTAAATGAGACATTTCATTACAACTCCTATACTTGGTCTTGAAACTCCTGATACGACTATGAAGTTCGACATAAGACCTCCTCTAACACGTTTGATACCCACTGCCCATGGATTTGGAGTCGTCACACTGACGAATGAAATGATAGAACCAGGAGGGGCCGTAGCACCACATAGACCTATTTGTGGTTTTCCAAAAATTCTTGGCTGTAAAAGCAAATGTATGCATTGTATGCGTCATTGTATGCCTAAAGTTGATTTTTTACGAGCAACTTATTAATCGCAATGCATTTCTTACCTTGATGACGACTCGATTTTCTATTAACTTGTCACCTGAAACGCGTTTTCCAAGAATTAAGTTGTTTCCCCATACGCAGACGATCAGAGATAAACACGTCGCCAAGAAAATTAAGGTCCTCATGTTTGCAGATGTTTGCAGCCTCTGTGATACACTAATTGTCACGAATGTACGCTCGCCACAACGGATCTGCTATGCAGCGAAGCAAGATCACATTTATAGCTTCTCCTTATCGGACAGTGCGAACAATTCCTCGATATCTGATGGACTACGTTAACTCCAAGATTTCCACCATCGAACGACAACAACAAGTTGTGTAACGATCTTTATCTCCTTTCGAATACCTCTCACTGTTCTGGGAATAATATGAATTTTTTTAAAGGGGTGATATCAGCTCTTCAAACCGTAGAAAAACAGTTTTGTACTTCTTTGTAAGTTATTATATTTGAATTTATTTACATTAACCTAGTTAACCTCCGTTACGTTATTTAAATGCTGCGAAAGTCGCATCGCGGTTTTAGTTCAGAGGGTACTTTCATCTGGATTCGCGTTGGCTTTGCAAGTTCGGGAAGCAAGTAAATTCATTTGGTAGCGAGAATGAATCCGAGCTCGTAAATCTTTTTCGCAAAGGCATTAAGATCGCGAGTTTTCCGACTGACTGAAGGAACCGAAAAAGGACAACCAATGTTGCGTCGCGCATGGCGCGCGGATCTTGTTATTACGGTAGCACACACTCAAAGCGGTCGGTTGCATAAATCTCCGGTGAAATTAAAGTGCACGCTCGAGCATTGCGCGTGTTACAAAACGAAATTGTGTAGCCACGCGGAAGAAAAATAATTTGCGTATACCGGGTGTCGCGCGAATCCGTATTTTCCAACGTTGCGAAACGTTCCTCTTTCTCGCATAATCGGTTCTCGTTTGCCACAGTCACGGGACTGGCACAGTTCTCATTTACACGATATGTAGCGACAAGTACCGAGACAACCTTTCCATTCAATCGAAAACTTTTCCATTTTGGACTGCAGAGGAAAGTAAAATAAACCTCCCTTCTAATAAATGAACGTTTCCTTGGTTTTTTTTTTTAAACACAGATTCACTAACCGAATATTACAATCGAAGAGATTACCGTGCATTAAATTCAGCGATATTTTAGTTGAAAATGCCTATCTGCGCGTTGTCGATTAATCAAGGAACCGTATGTTTTGCCAATCAATTTTATTAGTATAGCTTGATCTGACCTAACTCGACGAAGTTATTCCACTCACACCGGAGTCAAGAATTCACGCGTGAGGTAAACAAGCATTGTATAAAACAAAAACTAATCTGCAAGCAAATGAAATTCTATCGATCGCGGGACGATCACTTTTGTGCATTGGGTTTATGCGGGCGGTAACAAACATGATATATCACCGTTATTGATTATATAACTTTGTTAACTCTTGGCAGCAACAAACTTCGAATATCCGATCGTTCTTATGTATTCATTTTATAAATCGGAAAGATATGTATGGGACCGACTGTACAAGCGTACGTACGTGTACACTTCGTCACAACCCTGAGGCATCGCGGGATCCGACCTCGCGTCGCGCTTTCGTTGATTAATTTCGAAGTCGCGGCCCTGATCGAATATTAGGACGAGTTGTGTAATGACACGTGTGCCGCGAATGTTTCCATAAACATGTCACCGTCGTGGCGAATTAGAATATCGGATATCGATCAGCGAGCATCGGTTCCGGCGTGACCGTCGAGCCAAGCGTAGATAATTAATTCAGCCCGGAATAACGTTCGCATCCAGCGGTAACTAAACGGTTTCGTTCGCTCGGGCCCGTCTCGTCGAAACAAACGCGTAGGAAAAATGGTGGTAAACGCGAAAGAAAGGTGGATATTTAGTACGACGAGGAACGTGTCTCGAATTTCAAGCGTGGACGCGATCGATGGTCATCGACTTACGATATATCTCAATCGATCGACCTACTTCTCGGGAAATTGCAGATTTCCTTGACGAATGCGACCGTATGTAAAAAAAAAATGGTATCGCGCGTGGCTCTCTGCCGATTTCGCAGGAACGCGAGTTCGAGCGCTATCCATCTCCTGGGTGCAATAAATGAGTTGGGCTACCAGTCGTCGTCCATCACGAAGCAGCGAGTTTTTAATTACCAGGCCAGGCGTAATGATGACGAACGAGACTCGCGAGCCGTATCGGATGGCGATGATATCGAAAGGACCGCTCGTCGGACTGAAGCAGCGCCGATAATTTCGCCCAATACCCCACGTCGATCGACTTTGTTCTCTTCAGAATTAATCTGTTTATTTCGGTAACGTAATTTTCTTGGTAATATCTGCGAACCGGAGATAGGCTCGACCATGCAATTGAAGGACACTCGATCGCATAACCCACGAGGCAAGGTATCTCTTTTACAACGATGACGAAAGTGTTTTTGTTTTCTCAACATTGCGGAAAAATACTTTATTTTATCTCCCCTCCAACTTCGATAACTTGCGATGCCCAGCTTCAGAATTTTATTATTTTCGTTAGTACTCGGTATTAGAAATGTAAAATATCTGCCGGTCGCGAATATGTTTGCAATTCGATTTCGAAAACAAAGATTAAGGCGAGTCCCGATTATCCTTCCTCCCCTGATTTTCCAGGTATCCTGGAAAAACGGTTAAACATTAGCCCTACGATCGGTTTGGACGACACCCTTGGTCCTTTTTATCGGCCCTCAGCCAGTGATTAGGGAACCGTGCGTGAAACGAGCGTATCGCTTAATGAAAGAAGGGATCGTCGGTCCGTAACGCGCGATTTTCTCGCATCGATCAGAGGACTTTATCCTTGCCCGTTGGGGATTGTTCTCGAGCTATGTTCATCGTGACGATGCTCGTTGAATCGATGGACGTTTGGTATCGACCAGAAATGTTCGATCCAGGCGTTCGTGGATCGCAGACTGAAAGTTCGTATTAGAGGCCACAAAAGCAGTCAATTTCTCCTACGGCAGCTAGACGTATAACTATTGTTATGTCGTTACGTCGTTTCATCCCCTTGAATGTGAAAGATCCAACGCGATTCTTCACAGAACATTCATCAAATTCTAAAATTAACGAGTCGCTAATTATATTTGACGTGCAGATCGATTGCCAAGCGTTATCGTCGCTTTTTTTTATTTCTGGCAAGTCCTATCTAGTCATCTCGAATACATTATCTGATAAAGATAAAGCCAATATAATCGATATAAATATCCATGCGTAAAGTATTGTGTTATACATTCACAATTATAAGACGTACAATTTTTTTTTAAGTAAAAATAACAATGGAATGCGAGATTGCGCTAATTCAAAAGTAATGCTTCATTGATCAATTGATTACACAATCCAAACATGTAGTTCATAACTGCTGACCAATCCCAGAGATAACAACGATTACGAATCTACAACTTCTTTCAGTAATCAACTACAAAAGTACAGAGTTATACAATTTCCGGTCAACTCTGATAGATTACTATCGATACAATAGTTCGCTTCTTGTAATCGTCGATGAGTAATTGGACAGCTTGTCGGGCAATAAAAAATTTGCAAAGTATAAATCCATCGACGCGAATAATTAGCAGTGCCAGTGGCATGCCGTCGCGTCGCATTGTGCTCGAGTAGTGAGATTTTTAATAATTGCCTCGGAAACACGTCGGATTAATGCGTTCGTTCATAATGAAAAGCTAGGTCAGAGTAGCACGGGGAAACTCGAGCCCTTTGACAATTTAGCTGTCTGCTTCTTCCTGCGAGTAAAAAGTCAAGCGCGCAATTCTCATCGCGTTACACTGTAATCGGATTAATTATATGCTTGATGTTGGATTTGCTTATCCTCCTGGCGTACGATAAAACTGCAAGTAGCTTACGTCAGATGGAGAGGAGCACTCGATTCCATAAATAAATACATGATTGCGCATCCGCAATATCGCCTCGATGAAATTGTATTATTGTCTTATCTCTGTTGAGAGACTTCTTAATTAAACTTCCGGATAATCGGTAGCCGGGGATCGATGTCTGTATAATCAGGAATTCCGATAATATGCGTTCCACGGTGACTCGAAAAACAGACGATGAATGTTGCCAAGAAAAGGGAGTACATTACGAGAGATTCGCGTACAAGGAGAGAACGCTGGAATTTAGATTCAAGTTCGAGATCTCGTTTGTCACGGAAAGTACCTCGTGGAGGTTCCTCCTGGGGACCAACAGTTCGAGGCAGCACTTTTGAACGGTTCTGGACTGACCTGGACGGATCCCTGCTACGTAGATGCTTTCGATTCCACGATCATAGAAGCAAGAATTTAGAAAGTTTGTCGCGTCACCCTAACGCGTTCGAAGATCTTGACGGGGGTTGACGAGAGCTATTATGCAAATGCGCAGTCTCTATCGGGGCGTCTGTCGAAGTTATCCGAAGTCACATTCCTCGTTAAAGAGCTTTGCCGTTATCTGCAATCATGTCGGGAACTTGATCGCTTGATCGTATTTCTTTACGATTCGCCGGTAGATCATGAGATATCTTATTCCTTCGTATCAATTTGCGAACGCGCGTAAAGTATGGACAATTGTTGCCGGAAAACGGGCATATCCCTGCGAACGTTCGTCACGGAAAAGAGAATTTCTCGCGACGCGAGTATTCGTGGACCACGCACGCGCTACTTTCCATGGAACCATTGAAATTGATCAAACGTACATGTTCGACCCGATTCCTTCCGTGCACGAGTTCGCTTGCCCGTAACCGAGACGCGTGATTTCGAGAAATACCGTAGATTATGCATCAGCGTTTCTCGTTGAATGGTTCCGTGTTCACTGATTCGTGAACCGCTATCTGGTCCACGTGACCGCACGGCCCTTGGCCGAACCTGTGGCCCGATAATAGTTCTAACCACGCAACTATATACGTGCCTATGGAAATGCGCGTACGTACGCAGTGTTCCTGAAATATTTCCGATTTCCGCTTGTTTCGTCAAATCCATCGGACGTGCCACGCGAGATACGCTCCCCTTTTTTCACGCTGTTTGCATTGTTTTTCTATCAACCTTTTTACGCGTGGACAGTCGCTGAATTTCCGTCGACGATTTTGCTTTATTCTCCGGCACGCTCGACGCGAAAATTGATTTTCGGACATTCGGGGTCCCTTTCCTTGCGGCGGCTAGCACCGAGCCACGGAACGAGCGGTTCCTTAAAAATAATCGTCA